TCTGGATGCTTCTGCTGTTGCCTGAACCGTGTGACATCTGTCACTGTGCCACTGGTCCCCTCGGCTCAGGCCTCAGGAGCTTGGAGGAGAGACTGAGGTTTCTCTGGGACAAAAACAGGGATCCCTGACTGTGAGCTCCAATATCTAGTAAGGTGCATGATTCTCCCTACATTTCTCTGGCTGCATCTGAGCCAAAGTCTCGATGGAGCTGTCGGGAAACTGGGTTATGCTGACCTCCCAAACCCTGCCCACCCTCTGGGGCATCGTTCTGACAAGTAGGCCTTTCTGCCAGATCCCCAGGATGACCCCCAGGCAGATGACCCCCTGGGGTCGTGACGCCTCCTGCACTCGGAGTCAGCAGCTGCCTTCGCCGCAGCATGTACTTTTTGCCATCATCCGTCCCTCTTCAGGAAAGGACTGGGCTCCTATGTGAGCGCCTGGCTCCTGGGTAAGAGGGGAAGTGTGTTGTGCAAGTGCCCTTCTGTGTCATGCGGTTTTGAGCAGTTACACCTCTTCCTGTCTCTGCTGGAGGCACAGTCACCGCTGCGGCTCCTCCAGGCTCTGGCCCTCAGAACAAACAGACCATGGTTTTGTGCCATGCAGTAGTCATGGCAGATACCTCAGGGGCTTGGCAGGCGGACCTCCAGGGTTCCAGAAGCAACATGCAAAATAGCATCAATTCAACAAGCAAATGCTGGAGTCCTCGCCCCAGGCCTTCTGGAAGACACCCAGGGCATCACACCCAGCCTGGATGAGCTCCCCTCCCTCCCTTCCGCCGTGTTCACTAGGCATTACCACATGCTGGGTACAGGAGCACATCCATGAATGAAAGAGATGAAGCTCCCCGCCCGGAGGCTGACCTCCCAGCAATCTTATGGGATATGGGTACAGAGGTGAATCTGGGGGAGACTCCATTGCTGGTGTTGGTGTTGCATCACTGACCTCCATGATGGCCTTCACGTGTCCACTGTGCCCCATCGTATTAGAGTTGGCCTTTTGAAAGCTGTGAGTCCAAGTCACCTGGCAATATATAAGGAATACAAGGTAACCATTCTTAAAACTTCAGGGATCTGCAGGCCAGCCTTCTGGAACCTTCTGGATTCAGGATTTGGATGCAGCCACAGAGAGCCTAAGCGCCACAGGTCCCACCGTGACACCTTGAGGTGTGGGCTCACAGTTGGGCGTGGCTGGTCACATCTATAAAAGATGAGCCTTTTCTGGGAAAGTGAAAAGACAGAGAAGCCTCCTGACAGGGAAGGAGACCAGGAGCCAGAAGAGCAGGTGTTATGGCAAGGCTGAGGACCTTCAAACACCAATTTTCCTGGAGGGCAAGACCGCTGCCTGGGACTCAGCTTCACCTCCCTTCGTGCAGATGGCACAGATGTCCAGGAGGCAGCTGTGGTCAGTGACTCCACAGGAAGCATGCCCAGACCTGGGGCCAGAGCCTTCCTTGCACCTGTGCCTGATGTGACACCAGGGCGGGGCACAGGCTAGTCCCAGCTCCTGCAGCCCCCATTGCTCACCCCTACCTGTTAACACACTGAGTCCTCCCTCATTATCATCCCATTTTACAGTCGGAGTAACCGACACTGGGAATGTTGAGAGAATTGCCCAAGGTCATTGACAAGCCCATGGCAGTGTTAGGGCACCAGCCAGTGCCAACTCCAAAGCCCAGATCGGAACCACTGACTGGCCTCACCTCCTTCCCAGGAGGCCAGACTGATCACCTCGGGTCACCCAAAGAGGGTGGAATAATGTCACCCACCAGTTCCCGATGAAGAGAGGGACTTGTGCAGTCGGCACTGACAGATTTCACCTTAAAGAGAGATCCCCGTTCCAGCCTCAAAGTACTAACATTGGATCGAGACTTCTCACTAAAGGAAGGTTTCGGCCAGCCCACATTTTCCTACTCCAGAATCTACAATAAAAAGACAGATAGGGCCTTTTGCAAGAACTGGAAGTAGGTTTCCAGGTACCCACTGGACTTATAATTCAGCGTTTATAAGTATGATCCTGGAGATTAAATCAAAGAAGAACTTGCTCCCTGGAGCCCTGAGGTTAAGTGCTGAGGCGAATTCTAAATAATGATGTTGCTGGCAGCCACAGTGAGCATTTATTTATCGTGCACTCACGTGGCATCTGGTTCCAGGTCACAGAGGCGCTGGGGTTGCCTGGTCCAGGTGGGGTGGCTGTTGCACATGCAGCAGGGTGGACTGGGGCGTGCACATCCCATGACCGTGGCAGAGGTTCCGGGGCAAGTCCCCTGTGACTGAGACATCTGCCCACTTCCTTAGGCCAAAGCGAGTCACATGGCTGCACAGGAGGACAAGGCCAGGAGTTCACCCCTTCAACGTGTGTGTATATATGTCTCTTTTTGCATATGTGTGTATGTATATGTGTATATGTGTGTGTATGTGTGTATGTGTATACATGTATACATGGAGGTGTGTATGCCTGTGTGTACATGTGTAGGTATGTATGTGTGTGTTTAGGTATGTGTACATGTGTAGGGGTATGTGTTTGTGTGTGTAGGTATGTGTATATGTATGCAGGGGAATCTGTGTATGTATGTGTGTGCATGTATGTAGGTGTGTGTGTATGTGTGTAAGTATATGTATGAGCATGTGTGTAGGTATGTGTGTGCATGTGTGTGTATGTATGTGCGTAGGTATGTATATCGGTGTGTGTGCATTTGTGTAGGGGTGTGTGTGTGTGTGTGAGTAGGTATGTGTGCGCAGGTGTGTGTGTGTTGAGGAGAGGCAGCAAAGTCACTTAGCAAAGGACATGGATGCTGGGAGAAGTGAGGCTTTGGGGTCAGTGACTCCACCTCCCACCCTCATACCCTCCCTGTGCAAATCAGGTGCCAGCTCTGTCAACCAGAACATCTGGGTAACCATAACAGGTTGTCCCCCACCAGGTCAGATCAGAAAGTGTCTTCTATTTTGTATCTCTGTCCTTGTCTCCAGAACTCAGTCCTGACCTTTCTTGTAGTTTCTTCGCTGAAGCCACTCATTCGTTTCCTTCTCACCTGGGTGCACTGACTTCTTTCCATCTGTGCAAACAGCTCAAGTGGCTCTGACAGGGTACAGAGTCCGTCTTTGATGCTGCCGCTGAGGGAATCAGGGACGGAGCCACCAAAGCTCCTACTCAGCCCTCCCAGGGCAGATTTGCCCCCCAAATAATAGTCATTGACCATTAGCTCCAACAGAGAAATTGTGGTCCAAAGTCCCCCATTCTGCAGATGAAGAAACTGAGGCCCCAAGAGAGGCCCTCGCCTTGGTTGGCTGTGCCCAGAGAGTTTTGCTCCATTTGTCCATTTTGTCTGGGGCTGCTCCTCCTTGTGTGCCCTTGCCTAGAATCATGTATGGGTCAACCTTTTCCAAAAAACTGCCAATGCTGGCTGGGTGCAGTGGCTCAGGCCTGTAATCCCAGCCCTTTGGGAGGCTGAGGCAGGCGGATGACTTGAGCCCAGGAGTTCGAGACCAGCCTTGGCTGCAGAGTAAGGCCTCGTCTCTATAAAAATACAAAAATTAGCCAGGCTCAGTGGTGTACATCTGCGGTGCCAGCTACTTGGGAGGCTGAGGTAGAAGGATTGTTCGAGCCCCATAGGTTGGGGCTGCAGTGAACCGTGATCATGCCACTGCACTCCAGCCTGGGGAACAGAGTAAGACCCTGTCTCAGAAAAGAAAGAGGGGCATGGGGCAGCATGGGGATGGAACTGCCAGCCCTAAATCTTATGACCCAGGGTTGCTCCAGGAGCCAGAGTCCCAAAAAGGGGCCCTGTGGAACCTTCCATCAGTCCCTGAAAGAGCCTCACCAGCGACACCTTCCTGGGGTTGTGGCTTTGATGACAGTGCAAGGCCCCCAGGATTCCTTTCTGTGTTCAAATAAACTGGCTTCCTGTCCTCTCAACAACGCTGCATTCAGAGCCCAAACTGGCAACATATTTGGCCTTTCTAGAAAAGCTGCAGTTGAGAAAACACTCCCACTGGGAGGTCATGTGGGAAGCAGATATTCACACAGCCTCAAAGAACCTTCCCTATGATTCCTGGTTAATCACGAAAAAGATTTTTCATGTCTGCCCTGGCGGACACCACCTTAACCAATTGGCCAGACCCAATTTTTCCCTCGATGGACAAACTCACTTGTTCACCCCTGCCTGGATCGCCCTAAAAAAGTTCAGCCAAACTGAATCCCGAAGCTGCAATCAGACAAATCCAAACCGAGGGACTGTCTGCAGGACAGATGACCTGAACTTTCAAAAACGGTCAGTGACATAAAAAACAAAAATGAAAAAAATGGGGATTGCTTCTGGACTGAGAGAGATAAGAGAGAATAACCAACGCCACTGTGAGCCTTGAATGGATCCCAGAGTTTTGTAAAACTATAGGAGTTATTTTGGAATAATTGGGAACACCGAATAGAGGATCAGGTGATATTAAACTAAGTATCTTAGGGACAATGCTGGTGGTGTGCTTTAGACAAAATTCTCAAATGAGTGCTGCGTATTGAGGGGTGGAGCTCAGGGGATTGCAACACACTTTCAAACTGTTCAGAGAAAAGTGTGTGTATGTGTCCATCTGCGTATGCATACCTGTGGCTGCAGGCTGGAAAGCTGGCTGCTAGCACAGATACAGCCTGACCTCGGGGTCAGCACTTCTCGGAGTCGAGAGGGGTAGGGATTGGGACAGGTGGCCTCCCAAGGACGTCTCCCTTAGTGGCCAGCGGTGCTGCTTGTCCCTGCACCTGTAGCTGCCCTGAGCACCCCCACTGGACACAGCAGGCATTGCACCCTCCGGAAAAAAGCTGCCCTTGTTCCACATGCAAGCCCTGTCCCCAGCACCGCGGGCTGTGCTACCTGCAGTCACGCAGACCGCGAGCCCCGGCCACCTCTCTAGTGCCCTCTGTCCTCCGGCCTTCAGCAGACTGGGTCACAGAGGCATCCCCCCAGTCATCCATTCATTCATTCACTCAACAAATACCTGTTCTGTGTCTACAAGGTGCCAGGTACCGCTGGGAAAACAGCAGACAAAACTCCCTGCTTTCCTGGAGCAGGCATCTTGGTCGGCAGACAGCATAAGCAAGAAGAGTAGGTGGAGGTGAAGGCATGTGAACAGGTGACAGGCACTGGGGAGAAACGGCCCAGGGGAGGGCCAGGGAGCGTGGGGGAGAGGGGACTGCGAAGCAAGGGAGATGTCCAGGGAAGACCTCCATGAGAAGGTGACCTTGGCATAAAGAGGCCAGCGTGGGAGGGGCTCAGGCAGACCGTGGGGGGTCAGAAGCTGAATGGGGACAGGAGGAGGGCATGAAGCCCTGAGGCAGGAGTGAGTCTGCTGTGTTCACAGACCTCCAGGGAGCCAGTGCGGCAGGTGCCAGTGCGTGAGGGGCTCAGCAGGGATTTGTGACTAGCAAGGTCGTGGCGCCACTGTTGAGACTGGACTCTGACTCTGAGTAGATTACAAGCCCTTGGGAGGTTTTGAGCAAAGTAAGGACATGATCTGACTTATGTTCTGGGACGATCACCCTGGTCCCGTAGAGTCAGGTGGCAGGGATGGAGGTGGGCGTGGGGAACGCTGTGAGGAGCAGCTCGAGAGCCAGCAGCAGCCTGGGTCAGGAAGGAGAACAGGAGAGGCACAGGCCCCAACCCAGGGACGGATTGGGTGTGGGAGGTGGGACATGGGAGAAAGGAAGGAGTCAGGGTGATGCCCGGGAGTGGGACTGACACCTGGGAGGATGGGGAGCTCTTTACTCAGCTGGGGCCACCCTGGGAAGAACTGGGCTGGGTGTGAGGGCCGTCAGGAGCTCAGTGTCTGATTGGGAATCTGAGGCACGCATTCCCTACCCTCGTAGTTGAGCTGCACAAGCCGGGAACACACAGCTCTGGGGTTCAGGGGAGTGGTAGGGGGTGAGGGGTCTGCAGCAGAGCGGTGGGGTTCAGAGCCACAAGACGGAAAATCTGAGAGGGGCTTCATGCGGATGGAAAAGAAGAGGTTCAAGGCCTGAGCAAGGGCAGCCACTGGGGGACAGAGATGAGCAGGAAGAAGCCCAGGAGACTGAAAAGGAGGGATGAGAGGGGCATGGAGTTCTGGGAGCTGGGGAAGCCACAGGCAGCACCTCCGTCACCCCATACAATGGCCACCTCTGGACCTAGCAATGAAGAGGTTACCCACAGACTTGGCAAGCGGAGCTCCCACCGAGTGGTGAGGGCAAAGACTGACCAGTGTCGGTTTATGAGCTGGAAGGAGAGGAGTCTCACAAGTGAAGGAAACTTTGAGGAATTTCCTTGTGAATGGAAGGCGAGAAACAGTGGAGAAGAAAGTGGCTCTAAGAAACTGTGCTTTTTAGGCTGGCCGCAGTGGCTCATGCCTGGAATCTCAGCACTTAGGGAGGCGAGGCAGGTGGATCGCTTGAGGTTGGGAGTTCAAAACCAACCTGGCCAATATGGTGACAACTCATCTCTACTAAAAATACAAAAATTAGCCGGGTGTGGTGGCAAACAGTTTGTGATCCTAGCTACTCAGGAGGCTGAGGCAGGAGAATCACCTGAACCCAGGAGGCAGAGGTTGCAGTGAGCCAAGATTTCACCACTGCACTCCAGCCTGGACAACAGAGTGAGACTCTGTCTCAAAAAAAAAAAAAGAAAGAAAGAAACTGTGCTTTTTGTTTTCTCTGGGAAAAATAATAACTCATTGAGTGCAGCTAGCAGTGCCTTCTGAAGAAGGAGGAATGGGCTTGGGGTGCCCTTGAGTGTATGTGGGGCTGGGAGTGACCACGTGGCCATGGACACTGTAGGGACGGTTCCTGGGTAGCCACAGGAGGGAAGGCAGGCTTCTGGTTGCTTGTGTTTTCTTGGGGCTGGGAAGCAGCAGTGGCATATGAGGGTGGAGTGGGAGGGGAGGAGCAGCGAAGTGTCCCCTGAGCCTGGGAGAGAGGACGACTTAGAGTGGACGCCCACAGACTTTCTCTGTAAAGGACCAGATAGTAAATATTTTAGCCTTTACCAGCCAGGCAGTCTCTGTTGCAGCTCCTCAGCCCTGCCTTTGTGGCTCAGAAGCAGCCCAAGAGGATTCTTAACCAAATGGCCATGGAGGTGTTCCAATAAAACTTTATTTTCAAAACTAGGCAGCAGGCTGGCTCTGGCCTGCTTAGACTCCTGGCCCTTGACCTCACCTCCAGGCCAGGGGTTTTCAAAGCGGGTCTCTGGGCCAGCAGCATCAGCCTTACCTGGGACTTGTGAGAAATGCAGATGCTTGGGCCCCACCCCGCATCTGTGGAGCCAGTGACTCAGTCCCTTCACTGTTTCCAACCCAAGTTGAGTTTGTGATTCTGGAATTCTGGAAGTTAGCTCAGCAGCTAAACCCAAGAGACAGTGAGTTGGTGGGGGCAGGGAGAGGCAGGCTACATGCCCTGTTAAAGGCACAGGCTTCCTAGCCCCCAGCCCCAGCTCCTTCTGCACCGCCTGTGTGATTCCCAGCCCCCAGCCCCAGCTCCTTCTGCAGGCCTGTGTGAGGACATCCCACCTCCCGTAGGCCAGGTTTGTTTACACAGCCTCCATGGGGGGGCTCCCTGGGGACAGACCATGGTGAGGACTCTGCTCTCAGCAGGCCTGTGCCTGACGCTGTGCAGAGCCCTCCCCTTTACAGCCCTGGTTTCCTGTCCATGACCCTTAGCTGCCCAGGGGAGCCCAGGGGCAGGGGCTCCTTGGCTTGTCGGGGCAATCTCCCATGGCACTGGGCTCAGCCAGTGTTTCGTATGTGAAGAAATGCACTGTCCTCTGATGGAAAGCACAGCATCTATGGGAGTTTAACAACAGCTTTTTAATGACTTTAGTGAGATGATTTGATCTCCTGCCGCTGAGTCATCTAAGAGCAAAATGCGTGAGCTGCTAATGTGCTCAAAGAGAGATTGCCCTTGAGGCCCCTCCAGCCCCCCAGTGCTGCAGGGATTTAGTCACCCCAGAGCCAGGTAACCTCGGCCTCGCAAAGCTCTGGAACTACAGGCATGAGCCACTGTACCTGACCTGAATGAGGGTCGTTAAGAATAAAATTCCAGGGGATCATCTCACCAAGCCCCACCGCTTTTGAGGTTAGCATAGCACTGCATCTTCTCCTCGTCCTCTGTCCCTGTTTCCGGTTTTGGTTTTGGTTTTGGTTTTGGTTTTCTTGAAACAGTCTCAGTCCATCACCCAGGCTGGAGTGTGGTAGTGCAATTATGGCTCACGGCAGCTTCGACCTCCGAGGCTCAAGTGAGCCTCCCACCTCAGCCTCCTGAGTAGCTGGGAGTATGGACATGCGACACCATGCCCAGCTAAATTTTTTTTTTTTTTTTTTGTAGAGACTGGGTGTCTACAAAAAAATGTCTCTATGTTGCCCAGGCTGGTTTCAAACTCCTGCACACAAGTGATCCTCCTGCCTCGGCCTCCCAAAGTACCGGGATTCCAGGCTGGCCCCAGTTTTCCAGCAGGTCTGCACATGTGCTCACACCCTGCACTCAGAGGAGACCTCCACTGTTAGGGGGACCTAAACCCACGCTGCCTAGACCCCAGGGACAGAGGCCATTTGTGAGTCCCTCCCTTACTTTGCTTTTCTTCTGAGGAAGCTGCTTCCCGGTGATGGGAGGCCACTGTTCTGCGGAGGAAAAAGTGGGAAAAACAAAGCCAGTCAGCCGCTGGACTAAGTGTGTCAGGTTTCCCACAATTTCGTGGCTTGTTGTGGATGGGTGGGGCTGTGTTTTGAGCCTGGGGCATCCCTTTGCCTGCGGGTGCAGGACCAGGTGATTTTGGATCAGGGGCCCTTGTCCTTCCAGAAGCCAAACCCTGTTCTAAGCGTGAGGGTGCAGCAGTGAGCAAGACCCACCAAACCACCACCCTCCTGGAACGCACCCCACAGAGAGGGAACAGGGACACCAAGACCTGTGTGCAGGCAGCAAAGGTGTGGTGTCAGCTGGGGAGCAACTGGGACCCCTGAGCCCCACAGTAGGGGCTCATGGCGCTGAGAAGCACTGCCGCAAGAGCGCAGCCGGTAGGAGGAGCCACCAGTGCCAGGTTCACAGACAGTGTGAGCTCGGCCTGCTGGGAAGGCCAGGGGCTGGGCTGAGGGCCAGGAGGCAGAGCATGGGGGACTGAGGGGCTGTGCCTGGGACGGGGAGGAAAGGGCCTCGGACCAGATTCACTTTTGAAATAGAACCCAACAGCAGCCAGCCAGGTGGAGCAAGGCATGCAGGGCTGAGAGGGTGCAGGGGGCGAGGAGGAGCCACTAGGACGGGACCCAGGGGTTCAGGTGAAAGACAGCGGTGGCTCAGCCCAAGGGGTGGCAGCGGTGAGGTGGGTGGACGGCTGGATGCTGGCAGCCATCCTCATAATTGATGCTGCTGTAACAGCTCATCACAAACCCCGCAGCTTCAAATAGTCCAGTGTAGGATCTCCTGGTTCCCGTGGGTCAGGCGTTGGGGCAGGGCTCAGTCTGCTGCTTTGGGACTGCTGAGCTGCAATCAAGGTGCTGGCCAGGATGGGCTCACCTTGGAAACTTCTGGTAGAAAAGGATCCACTTCCAGGCTCTCTTGGTCATTTGAAGTCTCTTTTCTTTGGCTGTTGGGCTGAGGGCTCAGCTTCTCACCAGCTGTTGACCTGAGGCTGCCCTTAGTTCCTGCCCCACGGGCCTCTCCAACACAACACCTTGCTTTATCAGAGCCAGGACGGACAGTCTCTAGCAAGACAGTAGTGACAGTCTGCCCATTACGTTTTCCATGGTCTGCTGGTTAGAAGGACTGGCTAGGTCCAGCCCACACTCCAGGGTGGGGATGGCCCAAGGACAGGAATCCCAGGAGCTGGGGACTTCAGTGGCATCTGACAAGCTGCCTGACTTAGGAGCTCAATGACAGCGCCAGGAAGCTGCAGTGGGCTGGAGTCAGGGCAAGGGACAGCAGGGCAGTCAGGAGCTCAGAATACACAGATGCCCCCGGGGCAGTCTCTTCTGCACCTGGGGGCAGCAGAACCTACACCTGGGGTTTCTGAACAACAGTTGTGGCGGTATGGAAGGACCCCCATGACATACAGCGTGGAGTGTGGCATGAAGGAATGTGGAAACCCTTCTCATGGTGGTCTGCACCTCAGCCCCTCCTGAGCCCATGGGCCAACCTGCCTGCTGCCTTCCTGCCTGCCTGCCTGCCTGCCTGTCTGTCTGTCTGCTGAGGGCTCCCTGATTCCCTGAACCCAGACAGCCTCCTGGGCCTTTGTGATCCCAGGGCCTCCAGCCAAACCTGGTTGATATTTTTTAACCACCACCCTCTTCCCCTCCCTTATTTTGCTTTTCCTCCAGAATTGTCCCACTGTAAAAACTTGAGCAGGTCTGGACAAGTGAGGCTGGCTCCATGTATCCAGAATCGACAACAGGCTCCCCGGCTCGGCTCTCCCTGCGGCAGACAGGCTCTCCCGGGATGATCTACAGGTGATCCCCACCCCTCACCCAGGCCACCTCCCAGGGTTCATCCTGCCTTGAGAAGGGGTTCCCAAACCACTGTCCTCCCCTCTGGAGGAGGGAGGGCCCAAGCAGGACCCACAGGCTTCTGCCTGCCACGGGCTGCAAGGTGCACGCCGGCAAGCGTTTTCTCCAAGAAAGGAGCAGGGGCTTTAAAGACCCAAGTGGGAGAGAAAAAAACAAAACTTCTCTGGGGGGTTTGAGCCAGAGTAGACTCCTTTCTTGTCCCTGACCCTTTCCAAATATCTTGTTCAAGGGTAACAGAGGCCTGAGGGTGAGTGCACGTTCAGGGCCGATGCCGGCATTCTTTTCTTCTCACTTCATACTCTGCCGCTCCAGTGATGTGGCCCCGCCAGTTTCTCCTTAGGATCACGACCTTGCAGGCCTTTGGGGAACCATGTCTGCCCTTTTCCCAACACCAGAGGGAGTTGGGGTGGCCAGATGTTCCCGGGCACCCTGAGCCCCTCCTTGAGGAACTCACTTCCACCTGCATCCATGGCTGTTTCTGTCTGCACCATAATCAGCCCTGAACAGCCGAGGAGGGCGTTCAGTGAGAGCTGAGGCTCTGGGGACAGAGCATAGACCCCATGAAAGACGAGCACACAGGCAGGACCCCAGCAGCCCATCGATCTTGGGCAGCTGGACCTTTTGGGATCATCGTTAGGGCCTGAGCCAGGGCCCATGTCTGAGACAGCCAGGGAAAGGCCGTGTCTGTCCTAAAAAGAGCCCAGCAGGCACGTGCGGGTTTGCCAGCACATGGGTTCTCGGCGTGTCTGGGTTGGAGGGTTTTCAGCCATTGCCTGCAAGCATATTGCAAAGCAAGTCCTGCAGCATGTTCAATCCAAACTGACCCTCACCCGGAGGTTCTCCATGGAAAATAGGGCCAGGCAGGAAGGAGCCCTTGTGTCCAGGAAACTGGCTCCAGGGTGGCCACTGGGTGGCGCTGCTGCAGAGCGTTTAGCACCCACCGCGCATCCTCGGAGACCATCCTGAGCAGGGGGCCGGCAGGGGCCTGGGGGACATGGGACGTTGGTGGTGCTTTCTGAGCTGCACCTGCTGGGGTTGATGCCAACTATGGACTCTCTCTCTTCTCTCCCTTTCTCCTTTTTCTCTTTCCTCCACTGCTGTCCGAAGTACTCGGTATGGAAGTCCCAAAAGACAGCTCCAGTTTTACAGGTAAAAACAGTCTTCATTCTCCCTAAAACTCCAGCGAGCCCAATGGCCAGGGAGTGGGTGGGAGGACGGCAGCCTTGCCAAGCAGGGCGTGCTGGTGTTTTCTCTGAAGCCAAAGCCCCCTGAGACCCCCAGGCTCTGCTTATCACCTCTGTGCCTACCCACAATGTCCTGTGCAATGTCCTGATGGAAAATGGAAAGTCGGGTTAATTGTATGTGTTAATCTACCATAAGTTTGCTTTGATTTGAGCAAATGGGCTTCTGATGACTGCCAAGCTCTCAGCCAAAGCTACCGTTAAAGCGTCACTCATCAGGCAGTGAGGGAGACACCTTCCTGTGGTCGCCGGCTAGTGCTTCTTCTGTTATCAGAATACAGGATGTGGTGAGCCCATCCGTTCTCGCTTTGCTTGTGGGTTTGAACTATCTGGAACTCACAGAGCTCCTCAGGCTCATCGAAGGCTAGTGCCTTCTGGGAGTGTGCAGTACTGATAGGACTTGGATCAGTGACATCTTTCTAATGTGTTTCTCTATTGGTAAATTAACAAACCGGGCACATTCACCTGGCAAGAGACTGTGCCCCAGCAGGACGTGGCATCAAGATGCCAGGCTTAGGGCCCCTCAGGGTGCTCTCGGGCAGACCCGTTCCTCCCTCTGGGCTGCCTCTCCCTCACCTGTAAGGCAGAGGATGCATGTTCTTGGTGCAGCCTCCAACCCTAGGAAGTAAAATGGCAGGACTGCCTGGAATCTGTGGGGCTGCTGTCTCCCCATGCCTCGGGACTGTTTGGGGAATCAGCACAGCTTCTGGCAGCAGGCGCCTAGTATGCGTTGCTTCATCTTGGCATTCAGGCTGGGAGGTCTCTCTGCGCGGACCCGGACATCTCCTGGTGACAGTGCTCTGGGGTTGGTGCCGATGTGCAGGGCAGTGAGCATGAGGATGGCAATGGATTTCCATGTGGCTTTTCTCTCACGTTTCCCCCCCCACCCCCTCCTCGACAGCTCAGCACCTCTGATGGGACCCTGGACCTGGGTGCTTAAGCTGATCTGTGCCCTTGGGAGGTTCTGCTCCTTACAGGGAGCTCTGCAGACATGGCCAACTCTTTGATTCTACTGATATTTGGGTAGATAAGATTTTACCTTAAATAGTTAAATCTGAACTTGTGCTTGCAAATGCTTCACCAGGATGAAATGTTTGTTTTGTGATGCATGTTTGCGTGGTGTAACATATCCTAATGAATAGACGCCACTCATCCCAGGGGATTTCATCCGTGAAATGAAACATGTACCTGAACTGCATCCTCAGAGAGCCCTGGGCAGCCTCAGCCCTCAGAAGGAAGGGGTGAGGTCCGATGTGCAGGCAGGAAAATCCCAGGTGCAGACCAACCAGTTCAGAGGGTCCACCCACAGCCACAGACCGGCCAGCTCAGAGGCAGGAAAATCCCAGGTGCAGACCAACCAGTTCAGAGGGTCCACCCACAGCCACAGACCGGCCAGCTCAGAGGGCCCACCTCCAGGAGGGGCTGAGTAAATTGTCCAGTGTGACCAAGTTGAAGTGAGAGCCTTCCAGCCCCATACGACAACCATCAGAATCCCACAGGCTCAACATGTGGTCCTCCACCGGGAGCCCTGTGCATGGGAACCTTCATTTACAGGTGGCTCTGGGCCCCAAGGACAAGGTCTGAAGCTCACCCTCTAGGCTCTCAGCCCCACATGCCCGTGTCCACAGGCTCTGGCATTTCTGCCTCTTGGATCTCTAGGGGTTCACTTGTGTGTCTGTCTATTGTGGGGGCTCTGGAGATGACCTGTAAGGGCTGGGGTCTTTGTTCACAGGCTGGGGGCCACTCCTAATGGGGCACCCTCATCACACCAAGCATGCCACGAAACATGGCTGGTGGATGGTTCTTTCCATTACTTAGGCCTGGCCCTCTCACAGGGCAGAGGCGCTCCAGGCACACATCCTGCCCCCATGCAGCCCCCAGGCAAGGAATCAAGACAGGACACTGTGCCCGTCAGCTGTCCACCCAGTGCTGCATGACAAACAGCTCCAAAACTCAGTGCCATGCAGCAATCAGCGTCTCTTCCTTGCTTCTCTGTCTGCGGGTTAACCAGGAGCTCATGTAAGCTGGTTCAGCTGGGTTTGTCTCCAGGCTGCAGGTTGGATCCCCTCGCCCTCCATCTTCCCATCCTTCTTAACCGGGGCCTGTCCCAGGCATGCACCTCCTACAGCAGAAGTGCCAGAGAAAAGGCAGAAACATGCAGGGTCTAAGGCCTGTGGTTGGGTCGGAGTGCTGTCGTCTCTGCTCATATGCTTTTGACCAAAGTAAGTCTCATGAACCAGCCCAAAGTCAAGGGGCTGGAAACATATTGCCCCCCACCAGCGGGAGGAGCTATAAAGTCACACTGCAAAGGGCGTAGATACAGAGAGGGGTGAAGGATTGGGAGCAATACTTCCATGCACCCGAGGTCTTAGATCACTCTGATGATCTCCAGAAGGCAAAACACGTCATGGGAGAGGCCCAAAGAGCCTCTGGGGTCTGAGGAAGGAGTGGCCACAGCCAGCCGAGAGCCAGGAAGGCTTCGTGGAGAAGGCAGCATGGGCTTGATCTGAACCTTGAAGGCTGTGCAGGATTCAACACGGAGACTGGGAAGCACCTTCCCATAGATACAACAGCCCGAGCCCCAGCTCAGAGGTGTCCACAGAGAACAGGAAATGACAGTTACCCAGCCTGGGCCATCAGGGACATGATAGAGAACGAGGAGAGGCAGACTACAGAGGTGGATGTTGGTGGGGGCCTCAAATGCCAAGCTACAGGGCTCGGATGCATTCAGAGGGCACTGGGGAGCCATCTATGGTGTTTGAGCAGGGCAGGAGTCAGAGATCTGCTCTGGGAAGGAAGCCCGGTAGCAGGAAGTAAGACGGGAGAGAGGCGGATGCAAGGAGACTGATGCCCAGGAAAGGTGCAGAAGGACTGAGCTACCGGAACTGCAGAGAGAATGAAGGGGTACAGGACCTGAGAAAAGGACATCGCAACCACCGGGCTGGCCGCTGATGGGCAGATGCTGAGACAGAGAGGGCCAGAGAGGAGCAGCAGACCCAGGGAAAGAGAGGGCCTCTTTCGGAGCATGTGAGGTGCAGGCCACCCCGACCAGGGTGACATGAGGAACTCACAGAGTGGGCTTGGGCCTTTGGGGGCAGTCCATCCAATTCAGTCGCCAAGCCCTTCCCAGCTAGTCACCCACAGCCAGACACCTCTGGACTCCGCATCCTTTCCCAGCCTCCCACTTCATTTACCTTTCACCCTGCATCTAGGGTGCTGATTTCCTGTCCCGCACCTTCCCCCATGGCAGCCACCACTCTTTGCTCATTTGTCATGGGGGGAGATAGTTCTGCCTCCATTCAAAATCCCACATTCATTGTTTCAATTTATCAGCCAGAAGATGATGTCCTGCTGGGACTTTGCTGGCATCCTGTGACACACAGTGACCCTAGGGGTTGTGACCCTGGGGTTGCGGCTCAGCACTTAGCCTCATCCCAGAGCTCAGCCTTGTTTGGCGTGGTCTCAAAGTATTTCCCAAACGCCAGGTCAGGACATGTGCTGTGGAGAAGGGCTCCTCTGTCTCTGCCTGGAGTAAGCAGCAGTGTGGCATCCACATAGCAGGTTCTGGGGCCCTCCTGCCATGTATGGTACTGGCAGTATCAGATATGCCAATCTGGGGTGTGCCCTGGTGAGGAGAGGAAGAATGTCCTCGTGAGCTGAACAGAGGCCTCTGCAGACGCCCTTGGGCTGTGAGTGGTGGTCCCATACCACGAAGCCCCCAGCCACCCTGCTGCACAGTTTAGAATTGAGTGGGGTGCAGAAGCTGCAGGCTCTGTGTCCCACGCTAAAGTACCAAAGAGTAAGTCCTGCCCCTTTTGACCTGTGGGTCCAAGGCTTTGTGTTTCTGGCACACAGGGTTGGTGGAGGCAGCAAGGGTAGGCCTGAGGGACTGGCAGGACCCCCACCTTGGCCTGTACCCCAACTCTGCACACTAGGAGTGGGCCTTGCCAGGTTGGGGGACTGGCAGGAACCCCCGCCTTGGGCTGCACCCCAACTCTGCGCACCAGGAGGGGGCTTTGCCAGGTTGCAGCACGGAACTGCACTTTCCGAGCTTTTAGGGGAAGAGGCGCTCGTGAATAATTCAGCCTCTTTCGCTGAGATGAAAACGCCCTAATAGAACTAATGGACTCGCTGCCTCAAAACACGACTCTGGTGGGACTCATCTCATTCACCAATTGCTTCTGACGTCCTGCAGTGACACTCCCTAATGAAAAAGCTGCGTGCCAGATCCTTAGAGCGTCTAGTGATCCCTAATAAACTAGACTGTGGCCTTTTTAACAAGCAGACGCCCCCAGGAAGGCAGGTGAGTCCTCCCTTCAGCCCCAGGACTGGATGCAGCCGCTACCTTCCCAGGGGAGGTGCTGCTCGGGGGTTCGAATCCCCGGGAATGAGAATAAGAGGAGACAATATTTTGGGATGCTTTTGGCTAATCTGAAATTAGACCCTCTGTGTTTTTTCAAAGCAGAAGACCTCAAAAAAGAGACAGCCCGAGGTAAACCTGGAATGACTGTGATGGATGGGGTGGTGGGCGGTGGCTTCAGCCGGGCAGCATCTCTCGCTTGAGCCTGCTTGCAGCCCAGACCTGCCCCAGGCTGGCTGTTTCCCCGTCTGCTGGAGACTCGGCCATCTAGCTCCCACCTCGTTGTATTCACCGTTGATTAAGATTTAGCATTTTCCAATTTTGCCCAGAGCGCGGTCGGGGAGGTTCGGTCTTGTCTGTGCAGGAAGCACGTGCCAAGGGAGCCGGGGGTGCTTGTTTGGGCGTCGGTTTGCTGATTGTCCTTGGGCGCAAATTCCTTTGTGTTTGCACTGATGCAATGCCGTGCATTGTAGAGCCGCACCCCGGAATGGTAGCAGCTCCCCTTCAGTTTCCGCTTTTGAGAACTTTGGTTGGGCTCTCTGCTCTCTGGACAGGTGTCACCATGCAGAAGTGACAGTCAGGATTCCTTCTCAGTCTCACAATTTGTGCTTTCTTGGCTTTCAGTAAACAAAACGATTCAGAAATTCCAGGTAGAGGAGTCTGAGAGGAGGTAGTGATTCCTACTGACTTAATGAGGTCAACATCTTTCTTTCATTTTTCCGTGTCACAGTGTTAATTCACCTGAATCCCCCTGGGCCTCTGATCTACAGGAATAGATCTGCACAGGGCAGGCCCAGCCCAGGAAAGAACTTGTAGCGGCCACATAATTAGCCATGGCTATTGAGGAGGGGCTCATTTTGCTTGGTACCAGGATGGTGAGGGAGTGTCAGGGCTCAGAGACCCTCACTCTGGAAAGAAGCTGGATTCTGGGATATTTTGAATCAGGTCAGGGGTCACTGCACTCTTGAGTTCAGGAAAAGTGGGGTTCCCGAGGCAGGCACCCGGCACTGGGGCCACTTCCTCCTCCCTGCAGTGTCTCACGGGGGCCCTTCATCCAGGGACCTGATGCTGTTAGAGTCACCTTCGCTGAAAACCAGGAATGGAACCCCGGTGTGAGAGAGTCCAGAGGAGCCGGCCTTTGTCCTCTGTTCCCGGGCACCGCTGGTAATGGGCAGAGCCTCTTGGCCTTTGGCATGCACACATCTTTCTTCCCCCGTGGCAGCCCTCCCAGAGTCATGACCTCTCAGGACCACGGGGAGCCCCCACTGTGCAGGAGGATGCAAGTCCTGGTGTGGGAGCCCCACACATACAAGAGAGGGCCACTTGCAAAGAGCCGGTGGGCCTGAGGCAGGAAGCCATTCCCACCCCCACCAACTGCCGCCCGGCACTGCCAGGAAATGCCCAGGTGGAGCCCTGGTTGGCCTTTTGGAGCCTGGGCATTGGTTACTCCCACCCACATCCCCAAACTTGGCCCCTCACCATCTTGCCGGGAAGGTGCACATTCTCTGCAGGAGGGGGTGATTATTCACCTCTGTGTTCTCTCCCTTAAGCATTTTCTGGGGAGATTTGGTATCTGTGTGGCTCACTCCTCTAACTCAAGCCTGTGGTCACAAGTTCCTTCCAGCCTTCCTGCTGGCCCCTGGTGGTGGAGTTTTCTCTCCATGGCATTTATCATAATTGGTGTCATCCCACACCCCCTACAAGACTCGCTCCTGGCAGCTTCACCAGCTCCCACCCGGTTATCCAAAGTGTCATCTCACACAGCCCACAGCAGCCTGGTACAACAGGCGTTGTACCCACCTCATAGATGTGGAGGCTGAAGCTGGAAGTGGTCAAGGTACCTGCCTGGGTCACGCCATGAGCAGATGACAACCAGAGCTGCCTCTGTCCAGAAGCTGGTCACTCAGCCACCCTGTCCTCCTGCCCTAGGGCCTTGGCTGTATTTCCAGGTCCAAACCAGACCCGGGTTGCTTTTTGTGGGTAATATCTTAAAAGCTAATGGCTATTGATCTCAGCCTCATCGGGCCAGGCAGGGAGCTTGCACGTCTGAGGCTGGACCTGCCTTTCAGAAAGAGCCCTGCGGCTGCAGCCTGCCCAATTGGCCTTCTTTCTAAACACAGACCTCAGGGAAGCAAGGGCTGGCCTCCATTTGCCCCACACAGGGCTGGCCGCAGGCCACACAGCCACCTCAGAAGCAGCTGCCTGCCGTGCACATGGAGGGAAGGGAGTGGCCACCAGCAGGCAGGGAGGGGGAGCTGGAGCTGCTGCCTGTGGGTTCCCAGAGCCTCACTTCCTAAGATGAGCCTGTCCTGGAGTCTGGGCCTCTCTGCCCTCCAGAGCTATTCTCCCAGAAGGCAAGGCTTTCCATGCCAGGGCACCCTGCCTGCTCTAACATCCAGAGGTCCCACAGCCAACACCCCTCCCAGCATGGAAATGAGCAGTGGTGAATGCAAGTCCTGGTGTGGGAACCCCCCAGCAAGAGAGGGAGAGACCTGCAGAGAGCCCCTGGGCCTGAGGCAGGAAGCCAGCCACGCCCTGGTTGGCCTTTTGGAGCCTGGGCCTTGGTTGTTGTTCTACAAGTATCTGACCCCCTCCTCTGTGCACGAGGGGCGCTCCCGTGGGCACTGAGCAGGCAGCAGTGGCAGCAGGCAGAAGGGTCCCTGCCCTCCTGGACCCAACTTTCAGGGGAGTGAATTCAGCACACAAGACAACTAGAAAGGAATCTGCAAGGTGGATGCTGACAAGCACCATGGAGACAGTTCACAACAGGAAAGAGGCACGTGGCATGGTGTGCATGAGGCAGAGGGTAGGATGGGAAATGCAGGACCCCCTGGGGGCCATGCCCATCAGACAGAGGTGCAGGCTGGAAGTGACTGGCATGGCAGGCTGCCCAAGAACAGCTGGTTGCCAGCCTTCAGGGTGGGTGCCATCCAGCCCTGACTAGGGTGGTGAGGCCAAGGCCTGTGTGGACATTGCTCCCCATCTCCCTGTGTGGACATTGCCCCCGTCTCGGGGGCTCCTTGCCCTCTGGTCTCTCTTTAGCTCCTCTCGGAGCCCACCTTCCCTACCTCAATTGCATGTTCATGCCACAGGCATTTGCAGGCTCCACTCTGCGCCAGGCCTCATGCTGGGTGCGACAGGGCAGACATGAAGGATCCCTGCAAGTAAGATACAGATGAATACCTGCAGAAAAATCTCTGTGAAAGGGGCAGCTGAGGGGCTCCTGGAGGTCAACCCCCTCCCTGGGTGCACGTGTAGACAGAGCAGCGAAAGGTCAACAGGCTGCTCACCCGTTCTGGAAGGACCCTGTCACATGGGGCTCGTTGCAAACTCCTGCCCCTTGTGGCTCCTTCATTAGGCCTCTGGAGCACACCCCAGGAAGGGCCTGGCCTGGGGCAACTCCAAGACATCTCAGCCCCCATCAAGGGCCATGCCAAAGTCTCTGTAGCTGCCTCAGCCCCCAGAATAGCCCTCCCAGCTCCTTCCCAAGGATAATTGGACTTTTCCTCTCTGGGGCAGAAGGTGGGGACAGTGCTGGCTCCTCTCCAGCTCCCAGGCCAGGTTCCAGGATCCCAGTCTTCAGCTGGCCCAGCTGAAATGGTGACTTCCCCTCTGCACCTTCTCTCCCTGGTGACAATGCTGGGCTGCAGAGCAGGCCCCGTGGGCCATGATGAAGGCTTCGGTCAGGTGGGGCGAGGGTCACTGGACTGTGGACCTCCTTTGTATGGAGCCTGCCTCCATGTCCTCATTGCCCTGTCACAGACTGCAGGGTGAGGACTCACAGTCCCCTTCACTGGTCCACTCACTGTTGTGTATGTGAATTAACACCAGTGGATGTGTTCTGGATGCACGTTTCTCCCTTGACCTTTTAGTTGTCCACCATCTCTTAGGGCTCACTGCACGTCTGTCTGTGTTGAAATGCCTCATTCTTGACAGCAGCACAAATTCCCACTATGTGGATGGACTGTCACTTAGGTAACCAGTTTCCCTACTGATGGACATTTATGTTGCTTTAGCTTATAAGAATGCACATCCATTATTTAGGCTATTTACCCATGGTTCTTCACATAGAAACTTTGAAACTCCCCTGTCACAACTAAGCCTCTTTTCCCAACCAACTCTCCCCTGCAACCTGCTTAAATGCATTCTGCTCAGTCTTTCTATTGCAAAAAGCATGAAGCCCAAAGATGGTGCAGTAATGCTTTCAACAAGCAAGGATGTGTTGTATAGTATCACAACACATTTTCCTTTACAAGGCCAGGAACAAATAGGACCTTCCCGGGTTAGGGCCACCTGGCATGCAGGGGTGAGGTGCCTTCCTAGTATAATTACAGGAGAGTTTATTTCAGCAACAGGTGTGTGCTGGACTGCTTTCCCAGGGACAGCTCTTGACCCAGTTTTACCCTGGGAACCACCTCAAGAGAGCCCTGTAATATGGCACTGCAGTCACCACGGAACAGCAGCCCTGGTCTTCAGCGTTTGGGAGGGCTCAGGCTCTGCATGCTGTCTGTGCTCCCGTTTTCGTTTGGACACTTGAGGTGCAGCTGTCCTGCCTGGAAGCCAGTTTTGCCTGTGCTTGTCTCATGGTTGCAGGGGGCAGAGGAGGGCAGCTTAGCTGGAGTTCCCGGCAAGCACTGCTTTGCGGACTGGGAATCTCATGCCAAGAGGTGTTTGCATCCAGGGGCCAGGTCATACTCCTAGACACCAAGACCTTCTGGTGGCGGCGCTAGTTAGAGGATGTTTTGCTGCAGCTGCCCCCTGCCCCAGGCCCAGCCATCCAGGCTGGGGCATGCGGGACATTGGCACACTGTCTAACTCATCACTGTCTGGACAGCGGCGGCTCCCAGGCCAGGCGGCACCATGCTGTCCATGACATACAGTGAGAGTCTGCGGAGCGTGAGCAGCAGGTGCCACTCTGAATGGGCCCTGCACCCTGTCCGCCAGACCGACATGCTGGAACTGCAGCGTCTGCGGGAGGTGCGGGCGGCAGCCCAGGCCAGGAACATGGAGAGCTTCCTCCGCATGCACGGCCTCTCCCTGGACGGCTGCACTGCCCAGCGCACAGGCATGAAGTATCGGTAAGGGCCGGGCAGGGGGGTGGGGTGGGAAGTCTGATTTCAGCCATATAAAAACATATAAAAGGGCCTGGCACAGTGGCTCACGCCTGTAATCCCAGCACTTTGGGAGGCTGAGGCAGGTGGATCACCTGAGATCAGGAATTCGAGACCAGCCTGGCCAACACAGTGAAACCCCATCTCTACTGAAAATACAAAAATTAGCTGGATGTGGTAGTACATGCCTGTAGTCTTAGCTACTCAAGAGGCTGAGGCAGGAGGCAGGAGAAATGTTTAAACTCAGGAGGCTGAGGTTGCAGTGAGCCAAGATCACACCACTGCACTCCAGCCTGGGTGACAGGAGTGAGACACTGTCTCAACAACATCAAAATGTATCAAAGAAGAAAATGAGGCAAGGCACAGTGGCTCACGCCTGTAATCCCAACACTTTGGGAGGCCGAGGTGGGTGGATTGCTTGAGCCCAGGAGTTTGAGACCAGCCTAGGCAACATGGCAAACCCATCTCTACCCTAAAATATAAAGAAATTAGCTGGGCGTGGTGGCATGCACCTGTAGTCCCAGCTACTTGAGAGGCAAAGGTGGGAGGATAACCTGAGCCCAAAGACACTGAGGCTTCAGTAAGCTGTGATTGCACCACTGCATTCCAGCCTGAGCAACAAAGTGAAAAGTGAGACCCTGTCTCAATAAAATTAAATAAAAAGTGCCATAATCCTATCCTATCAAAAGATAAGCCCTATTAAGAGTTTGGGGGCAGGCGCAATGGCTCACACCTATAATCCCAGCACTTTGGGAGGCCAAGGTAAGCTGATCACTTGAGGTCAGGACTTTGAGACCAGCCTGGCCAACATGGTGTAACCCCATCTCTACTAAAAATACGAAAATGAGGCAGTCGTAGTGCTGTGCACCTTTAGTCCCAGCTACTTGGGAGGCTGAGGCAGGAAGATTGCTTGAACCTGGTAGACAAATGTTGCAGTGAGCAGAGATCGCACCACTGCACTCCAGCCTGGGTGACAGAGGGAGACTCTGTCGCACAAAAAAAAAGAGAGTTTGGTAAATTCTCCCTGGGATAAAAATGTGTGGGGGATGTTTCTCCATGGGGAAAAAAAATGTGTTTCTGGGTGTTGGAGACCCTAATCTAAGTGATAGGCACCTAGGTCTTTTCTTGGAACCTCCAAAGGACATTCTTTTTACTGCTCGCGTCGTTGAATTCAGCACGTCGGACAGCGCTCTGCTAGCCGTGGTTCTCTGGCTGTTTTTCTTTTCTGAATCCCTGTAGGTTGCAAATTGACAGCTGTATCTTCTATGCTGCTCAGGAACAAGCCCCTGTGAGAGCCAGTCAGCCAAAGGGCTCTCTCCCCACCCAGTCCTTGTAGAGTTGCCAGTTAAATTTGAATTACAGGTAAACAACAAATAAATTTTTAGTATAAATATGTTCCTTGCAATATTTGGGATATATTTATACTAAAAAGTTACTCATTGTTTATCTGAACTTCAGATGTAACTGGGCATCCTGTGTTTCATCTGTCAACCCTAAATCTCTGGCTTCCGTCTGAGACAGGCCCCTGGGATTATCTGCGTGCTCTCTGCAGAGTGGAGTGGAGGCCAGGACTGTTCCTTTCATGTTTTCTCCTGTGCGCAGTGTGTTTGGTCCTTCAGCCCGTTGTTTGAGGTGTGTGGTTGTTACTTTAAAGAAACAAAACACTTCTGACTGGGCGTGGTGGCTCACCCCTGTAATTCCAGCACTTTGGGAGGTCAGGTGTTTAGAACAGACTGACTAACCTGGTGAAACCCCATCTCTAAAAAAATAAATAAATAAACATTTTTAAAATAAAGAAAACACTTCTCCTGTGAGTCCATTAGATGGCAGAGTTTTTCAGGCTTTGTATCCTAAATCCAGTTGTAAAGGAAGGACAAAGGGTCTGCTAGTTTGGCCACAGCTGACCTCCTCGTTCTGCTGGAAATTTCTTAAGAAGGAGACGCTGTGCATTCATGAGGGGCTAGTCATTGATGTCTTTTGTTTATTCAGTAAATGTTTGTCAAGAGTCTACTTGGCACCAGTCGCTGGGCCAGATCCTGGAGCTGCTGCACAAACAAAATCAACCAGGTCTCCACCCTCATGGCAGCCATGACCGGGGGTGGGGTGGGGGGGTGCAGAGAAGCAGCAAGCACCCACGGAGATAAGTTCCAGCAATGGCCACTTGCCAAGGCAGCAAAGCAGGACAATGCAATAAAGAGAGAACAGGGAGGTCGAGGGGGAGCGCTCTGAGAGAGGGGTCATCTGAAGATGTGGAGAACATTCTCTTGGAGAACATTCCAAGAGAAGAGGGGTCTGGAATGGACCCTTCTCCATGTTTCAGGAGCTAAAAGAAGGCCCAGGTGGCTGCGCTGGAGGGAGGAGGGTAGAGGACACGAGGTGATCAGGCAGGGAGGGGCCAGACCCCATCCTCCAAACTCTGGGAAAATCTCAGCTCCCTCTGATGTGGACAGGATTTGTGATGGAGGAGAGTTGAGTGGGTTGAATCAAGACACAAAATTCACATTCATCCGAAGCCTCAGAATATGACATTAGGCTGGGTGTGGTGGCTCATGCCTCTATCCCAGCACTTTGGGAGGCAGCCTGAGCAGCATGGCGAAACCCCATCTCTAAAAGCAATCAAAAAATTAGCCAGGCATAGTGACACATGCCTGTGGTTCCAGCTACACAGGAGGCTGAGGTGGGAGGATCACCTGAGCCCAGGACTTCAAGACTACAGTGAGCCCTGTTTGTGCCACTGCACTCTAGCCTCTGGAAAATACACCAGAGGTATTTTCCATTTTACATCTGCCATGCAGAAAAGTGGGTGCCGTGCAGAGAGTAGCCGCTGGTCCTTTTGTTACTTGGGCATGTAAAGTTGGGGTTTTCCTTTTGACTTAGTTTTAGGAAATCAGTGGGAATTGGCAGCAGAGTGAGACTCTGTCTCAAAAAAAAAAAAAAAAAGAATGTGACATTATTTGGAAATATGGTCACTGATATAATTAGTTAAGATGGGGCAATGGGGCCATTTGAGATTAGAATGGACCCTAAATGCTATGATTGGTGTCCTTATAAGAAGGTTGTGTGGTGACAGAGAGTGGAGCGACGCGTCCACAACCCAAGGAACTTCACATCTTGGTGTTACCAGTGGAGGGTGTCCAGGTTCCTGGCATCTTGAACAAAGAATTGGGCAAAACACACATACAAAGCAAGGAAAGAATGAAGCAACAAAAGCAGCCGAGTGTGGTGGCTCAAGCCTGTAATCCCCACAGTTTGGGAGGCCAAAGCTGGTGGATCATATGAGGCCAAGAGTTCAAGAGCAGCCTGAGCATCATGGCAAAACCCCATCTCTATTTAAAATACAAAAATTAGCAGGACGTGGTGGTGGCTCACACCTGCAGTCCCAGCTCTTTGGAAGGCTAAGGCAGGAGAATCGCTTGAATCTAGGAGGCAGAGATTGCAGTGACCGGAGATTGAATCATAGCACTCCAGCCTGGGTGACAGAGAGAGACTCAATCTCAAAAAAAGAGAGAGAAAGAAAAGAAAACAAAGGTACACTGCACAGGATGGGAGTGGGCAAGCGGCTCAACAGACTGGATACAGAATTTTCTGGGGTTAAATACCGTGTAGAGGTTTTCCACTGGTTACTTGATATACGCCCTATGTAAATGAAGTAGTGGCCTGTGATCAGTCTGATTAGTTGCAGAAAGTGACCGATTAGAGGCTGAAGTGAAGTTACAAATTACATGTGTATGCAAATGAAGACCTGGCCCTGCAACCAGCCTGATTGGTTGCAAGAGGGGACCAATCAGAGGTATTTTCCATTTTTCATCTGTCAGGCAGAAAAGGGGGTACCATGCAAAGAGAGTAGCCTCTGGTCCTTTTGTTACTTGGGCATAGAAAATTGGGGTTTTCCTTTTGACTTAGTTCTAGGAAGTAATCAGGAATTGGCCTTCAGTTTGCTGCCTCCAGACCTAGTCTCCTGCCCCACCAGGAGCTGCCAGAGGCTGGAAGAAGCAGGAAAGGACACTCAATTCAAAGGGAGCCCTTCCCACACCTGGACTTTAGACTCCAGAAGTGGGAGAGAAGACATTTCTGTTGTTTTAAGCTCTCTAATTTAGGGTTCTTTGTAATGACAGCAGCAGGGAACTACCACAGGTGGGGAGAACATGTTTTATTTGTCTGACGCCCCAAGGAAAATGTCCAAGCAGCCTCTGAGACACTGCAGGACCCAATGTGGAGCTGAAATGCCCTTGGAGAACTCACTTCCTGGGGAGAGGAGGAGACCAGCAGACAAAGGCCCTTTTTTTTTTTTTTTTTTTTTTAATTGAGACAGAGTCTTGCTGTGTTGCCCAGACTGAAGTGCAGTAGCATGATCTCAGCTCACTACAACCTCTGCCTCCCAGGTTCAAGTGATTCTCCTGCCTCAGCCTCCTGAGTAGCTGGGACTGCAGGCATGAACCAGCACACCTGGCTGATTTTTATATTTTTAGTAGAGACAGAGTTTTGTCATGTTGCCGAGGCTGGTCTTGAGCTCCTGATCTCAGGTGGTCCACCCACCTTGGCCTCCCAAAGTGCTGGGATTACAGGTGTAAGCCCCCCCACCTCCGACCAACAAAGGCCCTTTAGCGGTTGATGGGCCAAAGGTTGTTGTTTACACTGGTTGGGGTGAAGTGGCAGGGAGCGGGGGATGGTGGCCTGTGGTGAATTTCATTTTGCTGCACCCAGGCTGGCAGCAGTGGCATAGCGGGTGCTCCGTGATTCAAACCGCCGGTTATTACAGATCCTAGATAAATTTATTCTGTGGTTAACTCACCTCCATCAGTGACTGGGCTTCCACTAAACTTGGTCTTAAGTATGAATATAGAAAAGATGATACCTGGGGATAGGCGTTGGCCAGGGCACCAAGGAACCAGCTGTGCCCTCGGCCTGGGCGTTTTATCAGCTGAACTGAGCTGCAGCTGGTGGAGGTGGCGGGAAGCATTCCCGTTACACCTCCCCATTTTTTTTTTTTTAAGACAGAGTCTCACTCTGTTGCCCAGGCTGGAGTGCAGTGGTGCCATCTCAGCCTACCACAACGTCTGCCTCCCGGGTTCAAGCAATTCTCCTGCCTCAGCCTCCTGAGTAGATGGGATTACAGGCACGAGTTACCACACCTTGCTATTTTTAGTAGAAATGGGGTTTCATCATGTTAACCAGGCTGCTCTTAAACTCCTGACCTCAAGTGATCTGCCTGCCTCCACCTCCCAGAGTGCTGAGATTACAGGCATGAGCCACCACGCCTGACTTACACTTACCCATGTTTTAAATTGTCCTCCATTCTTGCTGTTAAAAAGAATTTTAAGGTGAATTTTTAAATCCACACAGCCCTGGTGTAAGCGTGAGGGAGCAGGTGAGGGCAGCTGGTCTAGCACCTGCTTTCCCTCCCCCTGTGGATGGGTTCAGAGATGTGGCCTCAGACTCTGGCAGGCCAGAAGCTGTGGCCGGGTCCACGCCGTGCTGGCTACACACTAGGCCTGGGTTCGGCTGTGTTTTCCCTGTTCCCCATAGTGCTGGGAGGGAACCCAAACTCCCCACAAGGCTCCATGTGGCCCTAGCTCTCCTCCTTGGTTTCAAACCAGACCCCTCTGTCTCCCCCTCAGGAGGCTCTGGACGCCACCCCTTCTTTCTGTATCTCCAAAGGGAACTCATTCCCTCTGCAGGGCCCTCGCACTTTCTGTTCCCTCTGCCTGGAGGGTGCATCCGCAGACATGGCTGGTTCCTTCCCATCATCACATTTAAGCTTGGTCCCCAAAGAGACTGTCCCAGGCACCCACTCTAAACAAGCACTTACCAAGTCACTCCGAAGCCCCTCTCCTGTGTGAGTGTCTGCCTCACCCCTCCTCCATCTCGGTTGCCTTGCTTTTTGCCCATCTGCACTGCTTTGAGGTCAGAGCTTTGCCTGTCCCCTGGCAACCAGGATGCCCCCAGCCTCTGTGAGTATAGGTCACAAGGTGCTGCGTGGTCTTGGTCTTTTTTTTTTTTTTTTTAAAGACTGGGTTTAAGCATGTTGGTCAGGCTGGTCTTGAACTCCCGACCTCATGTGATCCGCCTACCTTGGCCTCCAGCATGGTCTTGGTCTTAATCCACTTCAAAAGCGCATGTCTCGTTCTGGCTGTGTCCTTGACAGTGAGAGAACAAGACTGACTGGGAGCTGGTCTGATGCTCTCTCTGCAGTTCAGGGAGCCTCTGCAGTCCTTGGGCACTGACCCTTGGTCATGAACTTCCTGGTGGGGCAGGAGTCCTGATTTCCTGTGCTTTCTGACTCCAGACCCCAGGCTCTTACCACAGGCTAAGGTTCACCAGGAAGTACTTGGTTGGTTGCCAGGTTCATTGAGCAGACTGTAGTTGCTCAGTTAACCATAAGCCATCACTTCCAGTGGGGCCAGCCAGGAAAGACTTCCTGGAAGAGCTGGGAATCCCCGTGTTTTTTAAAGGACAGGCAAGAAGGAGGGCACTTGAGGGCAGGAGGAGGGGCAGGAGAAAAACAGCAGAGGCCAGACAGGGTTGGCAGATTAACCTGCCTACAAGGCCAAGTCCATCCCGGGAAAGGGGGTTCTCCAAGGGACCGGGTCTGTCTTGGGAAAGATCCTGTTGGACTTTGCTGAGGCTGCTGTAACAAACTAGGTGGTTTACAACAACACAGGTTTCTTTTTCCTGGTTCTGGGGGCCACAAGTCCAGCGTCCAGGCGTGGCAGGGCCATACTTCCTCCGAAGGTCCCAGAGAGGGTCCTTTTTGCCTCCCGCAGTTTCTGGTGGTACCAGCGGTCCTGTGCATTCATCAGCTTGTGGCCACATAGCTCCAGTCTGTGCCTCTGCCCTCCCATGGCCATTTTCCCTCTGTGAGCCTCTATCTGCAAATCTCTCTCTGCTTATACAAACACCAGTCACAGCCAGGCACAGTGGCTCATGCTGGTAGTCCCAGAACCTTGGGAGGCTAAGGCAAGTAGATCGCTTGAGCCCAGGGATTCAAGGCCAGCCTGGGCAATGTGGCAAAACTCCAACTCTACAAAAAAATGCGAAAATTAGCCGGGCATGGTGGCATGTGTTTGTGATCCCTCCCAGCTACTCACCAGGCTGAGGTGAGAGGATCACTGAATCCAGGAGGCAGAGGCTGCAGTGAGCCGAAATCACACCACTGGCACTCCAGCCTGGGTGACAGAACAAGACCCTGCCTCAAAAACAAAAACCCAGTCATTGGATTGAAGGCCCACCCTAAGCCAGGATTGTCCCATCTTAACTTGATGACATTTGCAAAGACCTTGTTTGCCAATAAGGCCACACTCACAGGCATCAGGAATTCCAATCTCAACTGTCTTTTGGGGACACGTTTCCACCTGCCACAGGCCCCAAGGATTGACTCAGCACCTTGAACCTGCAGGAACATCCCTGAGTGTCCTGGGAGGAACTCAGGCCCCCACCAGCCACCTGTGTGACCTCAGATGAGTCCCCCGGCCTCTCCACAACTCAATTTCCTTACCTGGAAAGTGGAGACCATGGTCCCTACATCACAATTGTCCTGAGGACTAACTAAGATGGTGACACAACTCAAAGCTCTAGGCTGGGCTCCTTGAAGAGAAATGCAGGCTCTTCCTCTCCCTGGGAAAGGGACCTTCCCACCCAGCAGTCGTTGTCCAGGCATCTGAACCGTCCTCTATCTGTCCGTCTTGGGGTCTCATTCATGCACCTAGTCGCACTTAGAGCTGCAGTTCAGTGCCACGCAGACGGGGCAGAGGCATCAGGAAGGGAGGGAGGCAAGCAGCCAGTCATTCTGGAAGAGCTGCAAGGCCAGACGCAGAGGCTGGGAGAAAGCCAGCTGGCAGGCCCAGGGCTCTCCATAAGGCCCTGCCCAGGACCATAGCGGGCAGCTATGTGGGGCCTGTGTTGGGGCCGGGATGGCTTCTGCTGGCAGTGGGCACCACATTGGAGACTTGGTGGTCATAGTCATCCCAGGCATGGGAACAGCATCCATCTGCAGCCCCAGCCTCTCCAGCCCCAGCTCCCCTAAAGGGACAGAACAGCCTTTCCCTCCCCAAGTGCTGCTGAAGGAGGAGTGGGAGGAAAGGCAGAGACCCAAACACCTGCCCTGGTTACCTTGTAACCACTTCACGATGTCCTCGGTGTTTCTGGAGCTGGCCTGACCATAGGAATCACGGGATGCACCTGTTTCTCATGTTTCTTGTTTTGTTTTGAGACAGGCTCTTGCTCTGTGGCCCAGGCTGGAGTGCAGTGGTGCAGTCACAGCTCACTGCAGCCTCAATCTCCCAGGCTCAAGTAATCCTCCAGTCTTGGCCTCCCTACTAGCTGGGACCACAGGCTCACACCACCACAACTGGCTAATTTTTGTGCTTTTTGTAGAGATGAGTCTCACTAGGTTGCCCAGGCTAGCCAGGAACCCCTGGGCTCAAGCGATCTACCCACCTTGGCCTTCCAAAGTGCTGGGATTCTAGGTGTGGACCACTGTGCCCAGCCATATCTGTCACAGTACAGATCACCAGGCCCCTGCCTGGAGGTTTGAGGCATCTGCCTGCCCCGAGACGCTCTTCAGACCAGCAAGGTCAGGGGGTACCACCCAGTACTGGTGCCATGGTCATTGTTTCTGGTCTTGTTATGTCTCAAAGGGTTGCTTCTGAGGACGGAAGGAGGAAAGGAAGGAGAGGTGCTCACTCGGGGCCGGCACAGTTGCATGAGAAATGGCAGCAACTCAGAACAGAGCCGGCCGACTCACAGCTGCCGGTCGCCTTCCCCTTTCAGGGCTCCTAGAGTTGGAAGTGAGTGGGGCTGTGAGGTCCTGGTGAGCAAGAGGAAGGAGGAGGAACTTACACGGCTTTGCAGACCATGTAAAGCCAGTTCCCGGGGAGCCCACACACGGCCTGCAGAACTTGTCATAGCGTTACCTGCAGCTTCAAGGTGTGACCCCAGCACAGTCCATTCAGCCCGACCACAGAATGGGCCCCACCAGTGGGATGTACACTCTGGGCAAGGTCCACAGAAGCTCACATGTCCTGTCACCAGTCCTGTGGCCTCTTCCTTCCCTCAGCCTCCCACCGTCCCTCTGTGTCAAGTCCCCCAGCATCTGGTGCACCCTCTGACAAGGCCAGTGGGTCATCCTACTCCAGACACAGAACCTGCCGCTGCCTCACAGGCTCCCACCCTCTGCCCTTCTGCTGCTGCTTTCAGGAGAAGGACATTCTTGGAATTCCGCATGGAGCCCAACTTCTCCCTGGAGCCCTTCCACACTCCCTGACACTGCTGACCCGCTCTCCTGCTGGCTGACTTGGCCTTGAACACAGGTGGCTTAGGCCTTTCCCAGGGACCCTTGCTTCACATCTCAGCTGAAGGAAGCCACACTCACAGCACTTAGCCCCTGTGGGGTCTTCAGCTCTTACTCTCCTGGTGGACTCCTCCTCCAGGAAGGCCACCAGCCTTGCTTCCCTTTGTTCTTACAAACTGCTCCACTGGGGCAGCCCCTCAACTGTTCAGCATCTGCTGCCCTTCTTTGGGCAATAAGCCACCTTTGGATGCAAACCACGCTCTATTCAGCATGGCTGAGGCGATCTCTGCAGGCTGCAGAACCTCAGCCTCACTCTCAGAGGAGCTGCTGAAGGCTGTGCTTTTAAAAGCCATATCTAAAACCTCCAGGCTCTGAGGCCTCCACAGGCCTAGTTGAGGGCATCTGCCCCTCCCACTGCGAGCCTGTTTCCATTATCAGGGAGGAGCTGGCTGGACCTGGCTTTCCTGCCTCTCCAGGCCTGAGCGGGAGGAGTGGACCCCAGGCCCTGAGCCGGAAACCTCCCCTACAGGGATGCTGTCTGTAGTGCACTCCAGGGACACACCACAGAGCTTCTAATTGGGGATGGCCATCCCCCCCCCCCACACCGATGACTCACAGCGGGAGCTAGCTGCTTCATCTTATCCGCAGCAGGTACCAGAGAATCAGAAAAAGAAACAGAAATCTGTTGTAAGTTGAAGTCAACCAGCCACACTCAGTGCCTCTGACCAAAGCCTGATAGAAGTCACCCAGCACATGGCCAGGCGTGGCTCATGCCTGTAATCCCAGCACTTTGGGAGGCCAAGGCAGGTGGATCACTTGAAGTCAGGAGTTCAAGTCCAACCTGGCCAACATGGTGAAACCCCGTGCCTAGCAAAAATACAAAAATTAGCTGGGCATGGTGGTGCAGGCCTGTAATCCCAGCTGCTCAGGAAGCTGAAGTAGTAGAATCACTTGAACTCTTGAACTCAAGGTGGAGGTTGCAGTGAGCCGAGATTGTGCCACTGTACTTCAGCCTGGGCGACAGAGCAAGACTCTGTCTCGAAAAAAAAAAAAAAGGAAAAGAAAAAAGAAGTCAACCAGCACATGATCTGGATCTCACCCTCGTCCCCACTTAGATGCATCTGCAAGGAGAGGCCCTTTAGGAGGACATTTAACTGTACAAAGCTGAGGTCATGGTTGTGAGCTTTTAGCTTTCCCACTCTTGTCTAATCCTTTCTAACAATATCGTAAGTCTCAGCCCCTGTATTGATTTTTGTGTTTGTTTTTTGTGTTGTTTTGAGACAGGGTCTCACTCCTGTTGCCCAGACTGGAGTACAGTGGTGTGATCACAGCTCACTGCAGCCTTGACCTCCTCGGCTCAGGTGATCCTCCCATCTCAGTCTCCCCAGTAGCTGTGATCACAGGTGCACAACACCACACCAGCTAATTTTAAACATTTTTGGTAGAGGTGGGGTTTGGTCATGTTGCCCAGGCTGGTCTCAAATTCCTGGGCTCAAGCAATCAACCCACCTCGGCCTCCCAAAGTGTTGGGATTATAGATATGAGCCACCATGCCTGGCCTCAATGCCTGTCCACCATGCCTGTTTTGGACAGGTGGAAAATTCTAGAGTCCGGCAAGCCTCTGAAACCCACCAGGCTCCTGCCCACCTTCTCTGAGTAGCAGTTCCCTGTGAGCACAGCACATTTGTCCTGTTTCCAGGGAGCTCTGAGTTCAGCTATTCATCCTATTGTCCCACAGCCCTGGCTGAGTGGGAGTGAGTGCCAGGGTTCTAAACAGGACCCTCTGGGAGGGGGCCACAGGGGTCAGAGGTGCTTCCTGCCCTCGATGAAACTTGTACATACCTGAGCACCTGCCAGGGTGGGTCCTGAGGGCCGGCTTCCAGGGACTGGCTGCCAGGCCCCAGCCCCCACCACCATCTGCTCCTGGAGTGGGCTTTGTCAGGCTCAATCTCCAGGGCCCCCACAGACCCCAGTGAAGCCAAAGGGATGGAGAGGGATGCCTCAGCATGGGAATTGTATCTACCTGTGAGTTCACATCATAAACACATGGGCTTGACATGCTGCAGCCAGTTTCAGATTATAGGAGGCTGCGCGCAGCATTTGGCATGTTGCACGGGGTGGAGCAGAGCTGGCGTAGCTTGGTGAATGCCCCTCTGCTGTGGCTCCAGGTGCATCACCTGTGCAGCCCTGAGTGTGTCAGTCTCTTCTCGTGCCCACAGCATGCCTCTCCTTAGGTCCTGCTCTGTGTAGCGTGCACCTGCTGCCCAGGACTCAGAGCAGAGGGGGAGAAGAGATCTATGTTGGTTAATACTGAGTGTCAACTTGATTGGATTGAAGGATGCATATTACCATTCCCAGGTGTGTCTGTGAGGGTGGACTGGGAGAGGCAGACCCACCCTCAATCTGGGTGGGCACCATATAATCAGCTGCCAGTGCAGCTAGGATACAAGCAGGCAGAGGAGCATGGAAAGACTGGACCAGCTGAGTCTTCTGCACGGGAGGCTTCCTGCCCTTGAACATCAGACTCCAAGGTCTTCAGCTTTTGGACTCTTGATCTTATACCAGTGATTTGCCAGGGGCTCTCAGGCCTTCAGCCACAGACTGAAGGTGCACTGTTGACCTCCCTACTTCTGAGGTTTTGGGACTCAGACTGGCTTCCTGGCTCCTCGGCTTGTAGACACCCTATTGTGGAATTTCACCTTGTGATCATGGGAGTCTGTCTTCCTGATAAACTCCCCTCCATATATACACCTGTGCTAATAGTTCTGTCCCTTTAAAGAACCCTGACTAATGCAGAATCCTTCTTGTCCAAGTGGGAAATCTGGACTTTCCAGAATCTTCCCTTTAGAGTACAGGCCCCAGAAAGCCAGGCTGAGGACAAGGCTAGCACCTGGGGTTCTGTGCATCAGAGGCGAACCTTCTCTATCTCGAGGTTGTCTTCAGCGTCCTGAGTGACTGTGTGAACAGAGGCTGCACCAGGGAAGTGCTTACCTGGGCTGTGCGGCCAGTGCCGACGCCGGAAGAACTTTGCACAGAGTGGCAAAGTGTCATCCATCCTGGGGTGGGGCTTGTGGACTCAAGGCCTGGGCACCCACCAGAAGCAGCTGGCCCTTCTTTGTTTTGTCTTGAAAATTGAATGCCCTTGGTTAAATATACCAGTGTGTGTATACACACATTTTTTTGTCTTTTTTTAATTGTTCATACCTTTTTTTTTTTTTTTAGAAGTTTTGCTCTTTTGCCCAGGCTGGAGTGCAGTGGCACAATCTCGGCTCACTGCAACCTCTGCCTCCCCAGTTCAAGCAATTCTGCCTTAGCCTCCAGAGTGGCTGGGATTACAGGTGCCTGCCACCACGCCCAGCTAATTTTCTGTTTTTAGTAGAGACAGGGTTTCACCATGTTGGCCAGGCCAGTCTCAAACTCCTGACCTCAGGTGATCCGGCTGCCTCTGTCTCCCAAAGTGTTGGGATTACAGGTGTGAGCCACTATGCCTGGCCCCTTGGTTAAATATTGTAAAGAAAAACTGGAAGATTTTTCCCTGATTATAAGAGAAATATGCATCCCACAATAGAAAATTTGGGAAATATAGAAAAGTCTGAAGTAGCTGGGAGCCCCCCCACCACTTCCTCCTGGAGGCCATTCAGTGCATCTCCTTCCTGGGTGGGAGGGGTTTTCAACACCAAGGCCTGCTTGCTGGAAGGTGGTTTTTTCTGGAAGGGCCCCCTCTCTACCTCTCAGTTTCTGTCCCCACACATGAATGTCCCCAGCTTCCCTTGTCTGGACAATGTTAACAGGGAGATGCCGTCCCAAATTCTGGTTGATACATAGCAGGCTCCCTCAACCTCGGCACCACTGACACTTGGGCTGGAGAATTCTCTGTCATGGGGCAGAATCTGTGGCCTCTGCCTACTGCCAGTACCACCCCTTGCCCAGTTGGAATGACCAAAAATGCCTCCCTACACTGCCTGGTGTTCCCTAGGGAACAAGGTTTCCTCCCACGTGACAGCCACTGATACAGGGTTATCATTTATGCCACCAATTTTCATAGATTCTAATGTAATATAATGTGCATAATGCAAAAATTACATGAATTCTTTTTAAAATCACCCCCACCCCACCTTATTCTAAAAAGGATCGTAGGTGACATCCTTAAAGTAATCTGCTACCATGAAATATTTTAAATAAATAATAGCAAATAGGGGGAAAATGGAAAATAAGGGTAGGTTAGTAAAATAAATCAGTGGTAAAAATAAAATACCAAATTCACCTACTAGAAAACCGGGTGGTGACTGGTGAGAGCTGTGTGTTTCGTTCAGACTTTCCAGCAAAGAAGAAACCCACTGATTGCTGAGAAGTCCAGTGTCCCTAAAATTTCTCCCTTGGGTTCTCAAAACAGCGAACCCAAGGGAATGGTGAACTAGGAAGCACCATTCCCCCAGTAAGTGGACATCTGTCGGAAAGTTATTTAGGTCCCTTAGTATCATATCATAAGGAACGTAAGTTTGCCTTTCCCAGGTTCATTGATCCAATATCTATTGAAGGCTTTCGGGCACATGACATGGTGCTGGACAGTGGAGACACCAAGGTGACCACAGGCAGGCTGCTCCCCACCCTGGTGTCGCAGCAGCGCTCAGAGAAGGGAGGGGTTCCTCGTGCCAGGGGTCTGGCTTCAGAGCACACACACTGTCTGAACTGATGTCAGAGCGACTCTAGGTTCAAAGGCAGAGAAACAAAAAGGACACTTAAATAGGGAACAGAGGCCCAGAGGGTTTTCAGGCAAGTGACTTTTTTGGGGGGTAGGAGAGCAGCTTTATTATAATTCACATGCCGTAAAATGCATTTAATGTGTGCAATTCAGGCATTTTCATGTATTCACAGAGCTGTGCAAACAATGCCACAATTTTAGGATATTTTGATCACCCCCAAAAAAGAAGCCCTACAACCTTCAGCTCTCACTCCCCGTTCCCACCCACTGCAACCACCAAGCTTTCTGTCTCTATGGATTCACCTGTTCTGGGTATTTCGTATAAATGCAGTCATATCATTCTTTCATGAGCATCTAACAGCGTCATGTTTTCAGGGTTCATTTATATGTGGCCTGTGTCAGTACCTCCTTTTCATGGCTAAACATCTAACAGCATCATGTTTTCAAGGTTCATCCCTATGTAGCCTGTGTCAGTACCTCCTTTTCATGGCGAAACATCTAACTTAGCGTCATGTTTTCAAGGGTCATCCCTATGTAACCTGGGTCAGTACCTCCTTTTCATGGCTAAACATCTAACAGCGTCATGTTTTCAAGGTTCATCCCTATGTAACCTGGGTCAGTACCTCCTTCCTTTTCATGGCTAAAATCTAACTTAGCGTCATGTTTTCAAGGTTCATCCCTATGTAGCCTGGGTCAGTACCTCCTTCCTTTTCATGGCTAAACATCTAACAGTGTCATGTTTTCAAGGTTCATCCCTATGTAGCCTGGGTCAGTACCTCCTTCCTTTTCATGGCTAAAATCTAACTTAGCGTCATGTTTTCAAGGTTCATCCCTATGTAGCCTGGGTCAGTACCTCCTTCCTTTTCATGGCTAAACATCTAACTTAGCGTCATGTTTTCAAGGTTCATCCCTATGTAGCCTGGGTCAGTACCTCCTTCCTTTTCATGGCTAAACATCTAACTTAGCGTCATGTTTTCAAGGGTCATCCCTATGTAGCCTGGGTCAGTACCTCCTTCCTTTTCATGGCTAAACATCTAACAGTGTCATGTTTTCAAGGTTCATCCCTATGTAGCCTGGGTCAGTACCTCCTTCCTTTTCATGGCTAAAATCTAACTTAGCGTCATGTTTTCAAGGTTCATCCCTATGTAGCCTGGGTCAGTACCTCCTTCCTTTTCATGGCTAAACATCTAACAGTGTCATGTTTTCAAGGTTCATCCCTATGTAGCCTGGGTCAGTACCTCCTTCCTTTTCATGGCTAAAATCTAACTTAGCGTCATGTTTTCAAGGTTCATCCCTATGTAGCCTGGGTCAGTACCTCCTTCCTTTTCATGGCTAAACATCTAACAGTGTCATGTTTTCAAGGTTCATCCCTATGTAGCCTGGGTCAGTACCTCCTTCCTTTTCATGG